AAGCTGGCTGGTGCTCATGTTATTGATTCCTTGTGGAACTGGTATTCGAATTGCTTGGTGGAGTTGTTCAATCATTTGCTTGAGGATTTCCCCAAGTTTGAAAGACTGAGTGACAGTGATCCAAGCACGAACTTTGAAATGCTTCTTCACTTGTGCAGCATCATAGACTTGCTTGGCCAAGGTAGTCTTCCCCATGCCTCCCATTCCAGCCACAGAAACTACTTCACGTCCAGAAGAACCCTTGACAAGCCACCCAACCATCTGCTTTATAGGCTCATCGATCCCGACCATATCACTTCTCTCCAAAAGTAGAGCATCTCCTCCTCCTCCATGTGTCTCCCACCGTTTACCTGCTACTTCACTTGCACAGAATTTATGGCTCAGTCTCTTATGAACATCAGAGATTTTTCTGATCCTCAAGTTTATGCCTTGTAATTGAGAAGCAATGCGGTATCGAGCTTTTGTGTTCTTAATACAGCAAGAGAGCCTTCGGATTGAACCGTACAATAATCCCTGCTCCTCCTTCCCATGATCATGTGCCTGAAGAATTGTAAATTCATCAAGAACATCTTCACTGTCATGAGCAATGTCTCTTACTTGCTTAACCCACACTTTGACTTCCTCATCATTCTCTTCAAATGCGTCAGCAATTCTCAGAAAAGCTGTCATGCGCTCTAACTCTCCTCTCAGATACACAATCTCTTCCCTCACCCCTTTCAAGAGTTGCAAGTCATTTTCGAAAAGGGAGGTGAGCTTGTCTAGCAGAAACTTTACTGCACTCTCAGCCATTAATTCTCTCTCTACTAATTGTATCTGTGGTTATCCTTTCTTCCTCAACTGATTTTCATCTTGAGTTCCAATCCAAGTTGGTACACACACAAACACATATATATATATATTATATTAGATACCAAGTTGGTTTTGAAAATGGAATATTCACAGAAATTTGAAGGGTTGCATCTGTGTAATTTACCACCCACGCTGAAGAAGTAACAGTGACTGACTGGATTTTAAATTCTCAATGGGAAAGTAATTGGATTGTTCTTTCCAAGTCAAACTTTTAGAAAGTATTTGATAAAACAATGTACTACCCCTTCAATGAAATCCAACTTTCCAAGAAATTGACTTGTTATTGCATGCCATCGGATGGCTAGCAATAAGCTTTGGAAGTCCTTTCCTATTTTCCTTTATTTATTTATTTATTTTTTGGTCAAATAGGTTGCGTGCTCAAAGAAGCAAAGTAACCTCATATTGAGTGTGACAGGTTTATGCTCATGTTAAAGTTTCTTCTAAACGAATGGAAAGCTATTGAGACCAGGCAACCTAGGTCATTGATTCACTTTCCTAGAAAGTCTTGTAAAAACGAATGCTCTTGTGACCCTATACCAACTGATGAATTTAATATTTATCCAACAATTAAAAAAAAAAACAATTTAGTAAGTTTATACGACACTGACCATTGAATTGGATAATGCTATTCCATTGCTTCCTTCGTTTTCAGCTCAGTTCCACAGATTTTTGGCAAGTTGAAAGCTTTGTAGGTTCTGTGTGTGTTTTTTTCACGAAAACCCCCCGAAATCCTCCATGGAAGCTCTGATTTTGACCCATTGGAGGGTTGGTGGGCCACCCTGGAGTGCCCACCAATTGTTCGCTGAAATGTCCCAGAGAGAGGGCCTTCTGTTCTGTTATGTTTATGCCCCTAGGCTAGCGTCATTTGCATTATCTTTCTGTGATTTTGTTCAATTATAATTTAGGCTTAATTCCTGTTTTAACCCTGGACCCTTTGCTCGCTCTTAAATTACTGCTAGTAATTCAAAATTTCTCACTTAACCATCCAACACTTCGTTTTGTGTCTCACGTTACCTTTTTTGTTTTTTCAAACTCCATTCAAAGAATCGTCAAGTGTGCTTACATGGCAGGGCAAATGCATCATTTCTGACCTTTGGCTGCATACGTGGCACAAGTGTGGGTCATGGAGTTATTTGGCTTAGGCCATCTCAAAATTCATATCCAACCCTAAAATTCACTCCAAATTAGGGGTGGGCATGGTACGGTATTGGACTCGTACCGCTACCGATACCGGAAATTAAAACCGGTATGGTTCAGTATGGAATTATAGTTTGCCAAAATTGGTACCGTACCATACCATACCAAATCGGTATCGATATCGGTATAGTACGGTACCATTTTGGTAGCAAAATAACACAACTCAAAAATGAACCAATTCAATATTCAACGACCTATTCATTCACCAAAATATGTGATGCCTAAGTTACAGATTCAAATATTCAACAAATTCAATATCCAAATCCTAATCAACCAAATCAATATCCAAATCCACCAAATCAATATCCCTCAACATATTCAATATCCAAATCAACCAAATCCAAATAGTTAAAACTCATGCCTTATAGCTTACAAACCGAAATAAGTGATAATTATGCCTTATGGCTTACAAAATTACAAACACAATCCGAACAATAATGACAAAGAATTAACAAAAATCAAAATAAACCTCAAGATAAAGCTTTTGCTTCACATGCATATACCACAACAGGCACCAATTTATAAAAACCTCACAGAGCAACAACCAATTTAGCTCAGGTGGCCATTGGGATGGATAAAAACAGATCAACAGAAACCAATAAAAACATCAGGCACCAATTCATGATGTAATTAACAAAAATAAATGCAAATTTTGTATGTGAAGGAGAATCTTCGAGTCATATGCAGCTCCATACCCAATGTTGAGGCCCAAAAAATCCACAGTTGGGCCCGAATAAATTCCCAGCCCAGTACAACACCTTATTAAGAAAAGACTCGGTTTGGAGCACGCAAGAGTTCGTCATACACGCTCGCACGAGCCACAATCCATGTGTCATGCCAAATAAATAATCCGTCACGCTAAGAATTGAGATGAGCCTATAAAATGCACTAGCTCTACGAGCCCATGCTAATTATCCTGTCGAGCCTGATGTCCCTTTTCAAAGGGGATAAAATTCGAGCACGGCAATCAACATGCCATATCAAGCGGAAGATCATTATTTTACACATAGCCACACACAAGCTTAAGTGGGCCCAAGCCACGCAAATACCTGGGGCTTGCTGAGTGGGTTGTGGTATAGATGGTAACGAGCTCTCATAAGGCCCATTAATGAGCCGAGAAATGGAAGTTTCGGGTTTCTTGGGAGCCCAAAACTCAAGCCCATTTCATAAGCCCAAATATGTGGGTAAGCATAAAATAGAGAGAAAAAGGAAGCCCAATATTCTAGAAAAATTAGCCCATCACCTTAATAAAATAGCCCATCACTTGAAAAGATTAGCCCGTTCCCTTAGTAGGCTTACCTATCACCTTAAGAAAGCCTGAGCAAACCAAGTAAATATCTACAAGCCTCCAACACATGGCTGGAGACAAAAACAACGACAAAAACCAAAGCTGTCCATAGGTGTGAGCTGCTGGGAGGCTCCAGCACATGGGCAAATAATGAACATCAAGGTGGAGCACCCAAAGAACCATGGGGTATTAGCGTGCATAGGTTGCTAAGAGCCAAGGCACCCTTCAGACCAGTGTACCTACCCATTTCTTTTCCCTCCATCAGATCTAGTCATGGAAAAAGGGAAAAAAGAAGGAAGAAAGATAGCTGAAAATGGGAGTTCTCCACTGAGGCAGTTGCGGGAAGAGCATTGAGCTCCAAAAAATCCCCGATTTCGTGAGATTGGGCAGAGGAGATTTTTACCAGGATAGGATAAGTCAAGGGTAGGGAGGAGAAATGAAGGAAAAAGCTTGGCCAAATTGGATAGAAACCATTATGGTTTCTTGGGAAAAGATAGCTCCCAACGGCTATAAAATGAGGCCTCTTCTACCCTACAAAAATCCAATCCACATTTGGAGAGCAAGCTTCCTCTCTCACCTATAAAACCCAACAAATTCGTGCTCTATTCACCCTTCTCCCTCATTTTCCCTCTTCTGGCAAGCTATTACAGATCTTGACAGACTTTTCGTCAAGCTGCTGGAAACTACTTAAACCACCCATCGTTCCTTCCCATCTCTCTCCCCCTTTAGCCAACCTTCTTAGAATCACTTCCCTTTCCTTAGAACCCCTGTTTCTCATAGGAATTCACAGCCCTCTCTTTGTTTATGCTAAACTCGTGATGGTTTTGCTCCCACGCCACAAGTTTCTTATGCCAAGTTAAAAATCTATCTGTAAGCAGACGTTGTTTTTGTTGGTGAAGGTAACCGGGGTGTTTCATAAGGCTTCGTTGTCCTTTCGAAGCATTCTTGGGGCTTGATCTTTGAACTCAGACACATGGGGTAATTTCACCCATTTTCACTCCTTATAGCAGCCTAGCCCATTTGTCAGGCTGCTGGAACAAAAAGACCCCCACACCCAATAACAAAGCTCAGTCAATTTTTAACAAAGCTGAGAATGGAAACTATTAAAATAGTAACAAAGCAAAAGTTGCATGCTTGGTTTATTTTTACATACAGATTCTTGTTCATATCTTGATGAGAACAAGTTCTCTCTAGTTTTCATAACACTTTAAAAATAAAAATTATACTTCGGTACGGTACGATATTGAACGGTACCAAATACTTGGTACCACTACCATACCATACTCCCATGGTACGGTATGGTATCGCACCGAATATCTCCTCATGTCAAATAAAACGGTATGAAATCGGTATGGTACAGTATGATTTCGGTATTTCGGTTTAGATGCCCAGTCCTACTCCAAACTCTATGTTGTGTGTTTTCTTTTGGAAAAAAATTATATTTATGAAATTTCAATTTTTTTTGGTCAAATTGTTCAAAAAATTAAATTATGAATTTAAAAAAAAAGATTAAATAAAGAAAAGTTATCCATACAAAAAAAAAAAATTATACTTAAATCATTCTTAAACAATTTAATAACGTTGTGGACTTAAAATTTGAGTCCAGCGGGTTGGGAAAAAAAATGGTTTGAGTCCGAGTAAAACCCAAATTGTTACTCTTTAGAGGGGGAAAATTTGATTTTAGCCCTAAATGAGTTGAAGAAGGCGTTATATCGTTCGAAAATAGAAAAAAGGGGGTTAATTGGGGAGAGTTAGGGTTCGAAGATTTGGGAGGAAAAGCGTTCGCAAAATTTGCAGAGGGTTTCGAAAAGTTGCAGATTGGGTAGACTAATAGCAGCACTTGGGTTTAGGGTATCATTGTAGTCGACAAAAAGGAGCGAATCTTGAAGGCGAGCATGAGCATTATCAGAGAGGCTGGTGCTGCTCCACCAGTGTACGGTAAATGGTCCAGTCTGTGCTCTTCTTTAAGAATTGTTAAATCCTTTAAAAGTTGAATGCTTGGTGATGAAATCGATTACTTTGTTGGCATTTTGCGCACTGTGTGAAGTGTGTGTCGAGTGCTTGGTGTTGGTAAGACAAAAAAGGTTTTTTGTGATTCCTTTTGGTTCTGCAGATAAAAAAAAAAAAAAAGGTTGTGGTCCCTTGATGTCCCTTTTGTGTCCTGTGGTCCATACTTCCATTTATCACTATTTATGCTTTTTATTTTGTTTTTGCTTTGAATAAGTATGTCATTGATGACTCTGTAAGAGTTGTACTTGCTGTATTAAAATGGTGTTTATAAATTTCTTGCAGATGATAATACATTGTTCACATGGATGGTTTGTCATGGAGGTAGGTTGGTGGAAGTTAAGAACAATGACATGGGTTGGTGTTACATCGGTGGAGTGTGTGTCGAGTGCTTGGTGTTGGTAAGATAAAAATGGCTTTTTGTGATTCCTTTTGGTTTTGTTCGTAAGGAAAAAAAATGGTTGTGGTTCCTTGATGTCCCTTTTGTGTCTTGTGGTCCATACTTCCATTTATCATTATTTATATTAATTAGACGTCGGTTGTGAAACAGTAGCGTCGTCGTATTCAGTAATACTACGTTATTTTCACATTTACAAACGTTAATACTGCTTTTGTACGTCGGTAGGGATCATAGGCGTCGTGAAATATTATTAACAAGGCGGTTTATTTTAACGTATTGTCGTGGAAGATGTTATAAACGACAGAAAGTTAACATTTGGGGTCGTGGTTAATCTGTGTTACAGCTATACGTGTGAAATTTTTGACATGTAATCTACTTTAGACATCTCAAGATTTCTAAAAGCGTCGTCTAAGATTGTCAAAGTTTTCCTTTTTTGCTGTTTTTATAGTAATTAGACGTCAGTTTGTGTTTAGAGCTAATGTAGTTTGTTTTACTTCGGTGATTTATCGTCATGGTTTTATGCATCAAAAGATGGCGATTGATTTCACGACGGTTTAAAGACCGTCTATTGCGATTTTTGTAGTAGTGTTACTTGTAATTGAATTTCATAATTTAAATTTTGAATTCTTTCATTGATAATATTTACCTAATATATGGGTAAAATACAAATTAATCAATGAAAGTAGAGACCCACATATTATACTAATCGATTAGGCAAGCACCCACATTAAATTATGTACCTAACATACAGGTAAATAGTGTTCTTATTAGCAACGAAAAAAACTTAGTGATAAATCGTGTTACCTATAAATCATGAACATAAATTAGAATACTACCTATAAGTTAGGAACATAAATTAGAAGACTACCTACATATACAAAAATAGACAAATAAAATTGTATGTTACCTATAAAAAAAAGTACATAAAATACTATTATTCATTGTCTAAAATATAAAAAACATATATATATATATATATACCTATGCAATAGGCAATAGGCAATACGACAATATACCTGTGGGAGCAAATGTTTGCGTCTCCAATCACAGCACGCCACGTGGAAAAGAAGATTATCCCTTACATAGTCAACCAATCTTTATTCTATTACATACATACTTGCTACCTATAATTAGAAATAAAGGAGCTACATGTTGCTCACAAATTCTACTAATTTGATACGAACTTCATCAATTTGTTCTTGGATGTATGAGTTAGCTCCGCCTTCCTTGCACATTTTCCAAGTTGTTGTATTCCCCTCCACTCTAGCAATATCAGCAACAATAGGTCCCTTCTACAAGACTTGCAAAATTAATATCAAACTCCACACAAACACAAACCTTATCCAAATATATTTCACAGGTCCCTTCTTATGAATCATGCCAAAAGATTATAATGCTAATATTAAACACTTGATAAAAATAAAAGTCAAAAAACTTGAAATGTCATGCTTGAAGCTTTGTGACAGACTGACAACTCAAGTGGAGAAAGGCAAAGAAAGTTGTATGCTAGTACCTTTCTTAACCACTGAGTAAGCTTCCTTGTAGCAGCAACATGTACTAAATCAAAAAAACAAAAATAAAATTTTAACTAAAGCTACTACGGTCTACACTCTAATAATACAGCACTTCTTTATTTAATTTTTTTTTTGTGGAATTAAGTACTATGTTTTGAAAAAGAAAATGAGAACTTTTCATAAATAAAAATAAAGAAAAAGAAATTAGGAAGTCAATGTAGCAAATCAGTAGAGACTCACGCAGAGAAGGCTCAACAAAGTGAGCAATGAGACGAGGTCTTGAGTTCATCTTTGAATCAACACAAGGGGGAGGAGGACCCTCTCCCTTTTCTCTTTGTCCTACTTGCCCTTGTACATAGACAAAATTTTAAAAAACAAAAATAATAAGACTTCACAACATGTTTCAATCCATGTCTTTCAATTCCCAAACAACGAACAATTGGTTGTCTTATTCACAGAAACTACTTGAATTTACTGCCATACAACGAATTATATGAGGAAATAAAAGAAGTGATTACATACCTTCTCAAGTTTAGTAGCAATATTTTTAATGCATTTCATGTAGTTTAGTCAAGTACATCTCCTTCATGAGTTTAATCTGCAAATCCAAGTTAGCAAGACAAAGATGATTAGAAAGAACATTGCAGCCACATGCTTGCAGACGACATAATTATCACTATATTACTTGGTTTCTTACTAGCACATACGTTTATTCAAGTTTTTGTACACAATGCTTTAGAATACAGTGTCAACAGAAAAGATATCGTGCATGCAACCATGAATTCATATATGCTTGTATGTAATGTAGGGATAGCTTCAAATAACTTCACAACTGATGATTGGTAGTTTACCAAAGCAGCAACCAAAAGGAATCTTAACTAGAATTCTATAATAGCAGCAACCAAAAAAATGCTTTTCATATATTCATAGTCTATTACCATTGATGAGTGTTACTCCAACACCAACTGATAGTTCAAATAGACCCCGAGTATAATCCTTACCAAGATAGCCAAATCTGCCCTTAACTTCTATTTTAATCATATAGAATATGTGAAATTCATCTTATTTCTACTGAAAACAACAGAAAATTTGATTGTCAACCCATACAGGTTCTTACTGCTATGTCCTGTTGTCCCAACAGCTACAAGCATTCCTACTAATCAAGCCTGAATATAATCTTTATCACTGCCCAAATGGCCAATCCCCCTAAAACCTTGCCTTCTGTTCCCTTTTCAATCCTATGTCACATGTAAAAGGCATTTTCATCTAAACAATGTACTCCTAGGTTTTGTTACCTGCTATGTCCTGTTTTCTACTACTAAAGAATTTCATCGCCATTCTGGTGTTAAAGCAGCTCATTACATTCACAATAAACCTATGTATAATCAAATACACAAATAGATAAAACCCAGATTTCTTTTGATCTTATATCCATTCATTGGACATCTAACTTTTTGATAGACCTCCTATTGCCAATCATCCCCAGTTGCATGTCAAAATATGCATAAGTAGGTCAGCATTTGCACATAAAATTGTATGAAACTTAATCATGACAATTATATTGAGAAAAAAGGATTGCCTGCAGAATAGTGATATAGAATTATGGAAAACTATCATTCTATATCAAATCCCTAAAACAGTCGATGGTGTGGATTTCATACCAGCTTTTTATACCCAAAGCCCTAATTCCTAAATCAACTCACTAGCATCTTTAATGGAAGAACCTAAATCAAACAAAATAAAACATACACAGTTTCTTCGATAATAAACCAAACATAATAAAACATACACATTGCAAAGTGTTCGCGAGCCAATCATAACCAGATCTGACATTAAAACTCTCACTGATCCATTCATGAATCACAAAAGATTAAAATTTAAAAAAATCAAAAAAGGAGAAGAAGAAAACAGAGAGAGAGAGAGAGAGAGAGAGGGAGAAAGAGAATACTTGTAGTTTTTCCCTTCAAATTAGTGCTTGAGCTTGGTTCGTTTTCTGTCACGCCCCAACCCACGGGTTTACGTAACCTTGGATTAAGACGTGATTCACACCTTAATTATAGAATTTTATAAAAACTATAACTAAAATGTGAAGAAACATTTAAATAAATAAAGTAAATATTTCATTTTCAGAGGGAGAGAATAAATTTTGGCGAACGAGGCGAGTTCGGTGGACTGAACGCGGTGAGCTCGATGGACTGAATGACGCGATGGAGATGGCGATCTCTGCAAACTCGGTGGATGGTGAGAGGGAGATGTGCTTCATCGATGTGAGAGAGAGTTGAGAGAGAGAGGGTTTTTGTGAAAGGTTCGTGAGAGAATTTGAGATAGTAAAGTGTTTGAGAGAGCAAGTCTTTTCTGAAAAGCTCCGCGCTCGCGAACTTAAAGTGAACTTTTGTTTAGCACCTCCTGAAAACACGATGGTCCTAATAAGGTATGGTCGTAATTTTAAAAATCAACCTAACATATTAGTGTATTAGGTACTTTACCAGGGCGGTGTTATAAAACTGGTCGTCTTCACTACTACAAAAAAAGAAAAAGACGACCAGAAAAAGACGACGGCAGAACATAAAACCGTCGTTGTATTTAAACCAACGACGGTATAAAAAAAACCTTCGTGGATAAGTGCCTTACTATTGAATATTTTTAAAAGACGACGTATACAAATAAAAAAGCGTCGTTTTTTTAAAAAGGATTTCTTCAGAGTTAAAATCTGACCAAAAAACAACGATAGCAGGTATGAATCCACCGACGTAGAATATAAAGACGACAGTTCACCAAAAAACCTGCCGTGTTAACTCCTAACTAAACACGACCAACTGTTCTTAATCCGCGTCGTATAATATAATGGAATCCACGTCTGTATACTACGACGGTGCCTTCTCTGTAAACTGCCGTCTTAATTTTTATTTCTTTTTAAGATTTAATTATTTTTTAATTTTGGTGGCCTATGAAAATTAAAATGGGATCCCAAGAGGTATGATATCTTACCATTGAGATCTTTGGATCCTGATCATAATCGAACCACCAAAGTGAGAAAGACAAAATCCAAAAAGAAATCAGAACTGAACTGACCACTGCAAGCTTTGAGAAAGACAATGTTTTGAAAGTTAATGATGTGTGTGTTTTGGTGTCTTTGAGATACACCAAAACGCATACATCATTAACATCCAAATTATTGTCTTTGAGATGTGAGAGAGAGTGATGATGTATGTGTGTATGTGAGAGAGGAAGACGAGCCTCCAAAGAGACCAGAAGAACTTGGAACCCTAAATGAAAACTGAAACTGAAAGAAAGAGTCAAATTTATACAAAAATCTTTTAAACTTACGGCGGTGCTCATAGACATACCGCCATGTAATTTAAAAAACCACGTCGGTTATTCTTTAATGGAATCCACGTCGTACAATTTTATGGAATCCACGTCGTATAATGTAATGTAATACACGTCGGTATATTACAAAAAAACGACGTGTTAAATAATATACCATGACGCGAGAG